TACTGTATATAGTTTATATACTTATATACATGCGCTTTTAATTAACAACATATTTATTACCGGTGATTCAACAACTCAAGATTTCCCCCTTTTCCAACGACGGAATGTGTTTCTTATGTCAGAACGACGTAATGAAAATAGCATCGTCTAGTATTTGTTCCAAGGTCTATAATCGAATCATCTTCGACTGGTTATTGTCCGAGTCATCCATCCCGACTTGCAGGGCAGATAGACGTTATTATAAAATATGTAACAGAGACCACGACTTAAGGTAGACAGTGTCAATGACATGTCCTTTCTTTCGTTAAAAAAAAAGTACATTTAAGTTTTGGGTATTAATCAATTTTTATTTTTTTCTTAATAATGTTTTTATTTTCACATGCCTTCTTGCTTTAGATGAGCCGCCGAGTTTACGGCGTACCTGGTATAAAAATGGTTAAAGAAAACAAATTACATTAAAACGTGTACGCCTCGACCAGTCTGAGTTACTATTACTGGTGATAGAGCGCCTTGTAAGCCCGCACGAGTAGATACTATTTCCTGCCTATTTCTACCGTGAAGCAGTAATGCGTTTCGCTTTGAAGGCTGGCACAACCATTGTACTATAAAACCGAGACTTAGAACTCATCTCTCAAGGCGGCTGGCGGTATTTACATTGTTTACATCTATAGGCTTGGGTAAGCGCCTACCACCAGCTAGGTCGTCATCACGTACACCCATCTAATAAAAAAAGCTATGAGTCGAAATTACATTGGTAGCGGAAGAAGAGGTCGACCGAAGAAGACATGGATGAAAGGTGTGAATGAGAGAAAGAGGAGTGCGTGTTGAGATTACGGCTGATAGAGGAGAATGGAAAAGAAATATTCGCGGTGCGGACCCTAGTTGGATAAAGCTAGAGAGACCATATCAGCGTCACCGGGCTAGTAAGTGAACTCACGGGGCTCAAGCCTGACGACGTTGCTAACACGAACCCTAGCAAGAGCCGTGCTTCGCAGAATCTACCACCGGATCTGAAACGCGACCCACTGAGAGGATCCGGCGAGAAACTCAGTGGGTTATGGTGAAGACAAAGTAGAAGATAAGTCGGAATTGCAAATGAACTGTCCAATCCTTGGAACTATAAAGCATAGACAGGATGACGACACCTACACGTGATGGCTCACACTACGATATGTCATATTAGTTGACTTCTCTACATTAGTACCGTTCATTAGTCACTGATAAAAACTCACAGTAGATTTATTTACACCTGAAAAGTTTTCCTCAATCCTCATGTCATTTATGTAAGATCCATACATCCCAACTAACGACCGATATATTTTTTTTCTTTTTGCTATTTGAAAATCTAACTCTTAGTGTAACTGTTTATAATAAGAAAATTCAAATCAGAGCACCAAATGCGATGGTAGTATGAAGGATGAAGTAAAAGAAACAGAAATAGTCCCTTCCTACGCCACTTTGCAATAGATATAATACTGAAGATTAACCCAAGGAAGGTGAGCGTCTGGTCGTAAAACTCATGCCAAATCCCTATCTCGCTTGATAAGAGGACATGCTGTGCCAACTTCACATAATGTGGGATAATAATTTACTGGTGATAGAACCTCTTGTGAGTCCGCGCGGGTAGGTACCACCACCCTGCCTATTTCTGCCGTGAAGCAGTAATGCGTTTCGGTTTGAAGAATGGGGCAGCCGTTGTAACTATACTTGAGACCTTAGAACTTATATGGGACTTATAAGTGTGGGCTGTGAACTCGTCCACCCATCTAAGCAATAAAGAAAAGAACAAGAAGAAGAAGAATACACCCTTACTTATATTTTAAATGCGAAAATCAATTCGTTTGTTTTTAACACTTTCACATCGCAACTACTGAATGGTTTTTTTTTTTGCATACACGTTCTCACGTGAATGGCAGCTATCATTGAACATATATAAGATATTCGACAAGGCCCGAAGCGTCAGTCTACCGAGCAATTTCACTCGCTCTTTCTAGATTAATCTAGAAAGTACCATTCTCAAGCGACACTTTTCTTCTACAACACTATCGAAATCGCCTTTAAAGATTCGTCATGAATAAGAAGAAAATAAATATGCCAACATTAAACAAAGGTTTCAGCTACCATAAACACCAGTTTAAGCCAATGTATAAATTATGTAGACAAAAACCTACAACGGTAGACCGACAAAAACTATTCGCTCTGAGAAACGCGAAAATCCAGCAATAAGTTGGCTTTCGTCTGATTTAATAAATATCTGGTACGCCTTAATAATATATTTGGTATCCCTCTTCGAATGTGGGTAACTATACACTCAATTAAACAACGCTTAGCAAGAAAGGTACCGGCATGTATTAGCATCAAGAGCAGAATGTTGGTACATGCGCGTGAGATATTAAAATATGCCACTGGAAATCCCGGATATAGAAATTAGGAGGTTTCATGTAACAATGTGAATCTTCAACGTGTTGGTGATTTGAGAGAATTTCATAAATACGTATTTCCTATTTATAAAAAAAAGGACGACGCTGGTTCTGAACGCGGCACACTCGCATTGCTCAAGATTACACCAGACGTCTTATCTTTTGGGCTATATATCTGTCACAACAACTACTACTCAATTAGAATGTTTAAATAAAAGTGTTTTTTTTATTGCTCAGATGGGTGAACGAGCTCACAGCCCACCTGTTGTTAAGTGGTTACTGGAGCCCATGGACATCTACAACGTAAATGCGCTACCCACCTTGAGATATAAGTTCTAAGATCTCAGTATAGTTACAATGGCTGCCCTACCCTTCAAACCGAAACGCATTACTGCTTCACGGCAGAAATAGGCAGGGTGGTGGTACCTACCCGCGCAGACTCACAAGAGGTCCTACCACGACCACCAGTGTTTATTTAAAATTGAGGTAAATGAAATCCAAAATCCTATCATCGATTCACCATGCACTTAATTCACTTATTCTTGTATTACCACTATTCTTTCGGCTGACTCAGTGGTACATTGTAATTAAAATATTCATTTTGAAACAGGAAACAATGATAGAAATTATATTTTTAATTTCATTAAATATTATAGCGATTCTTAAATATTATATTATATAATTGTTAAGAGAGTAGCTGTGATATAAATGCTGGATAATAATTAGCTAAACAATTGAAAGCAAAAACTCGTAAAATATATTAGAATATTTAAAGCAATCACGACAAAAGTACATCGTGGATTAAATAATTATAATATGTAATATATTACTAATTTATAATGTAATAAACATATGACAAATTAATATAGATCGTATTTCCTTTAAAATTAGTGAAGAACATTTATATGAAATATCGATAACAATTATGAAACACAAATGCTCGTATTATTTCAGAAGTTAATCAAATTGAAGGTTTTCATTTATTAAAGTAACTGCAATAAGCCTCGCTTGTCTACCATCCATTAAGACGATCCTTTGGACCACATGACGCTAACTGTCACTGCTCATAGATGTAAACAAGCCCAAAAGGCAAATCTTAGGTTAGCGTGGTATGGACATGTGATGCGTAGAGAAGATGCATGTGACTAGATGTATGGAAATGGTAGTGCAAGGTAGAGGGGAAGAGGTCGACCGAAGAAGACATGGATGGAGTGTGTGAATGACGATATGAGAGAGAGAAATTAGTGTTGAGATGAAGGCTGATAGTTGAGAATGGAATAGAAAAATTTGCTGTGCCGACCCCACCTAGTGGAATAAGATGGAGAGAAAGAAAAACATAAACTTGAACCGCATCAACGACATTTACAAGAGAACCTATCAGATTTCAGATTCCGAACAACAACATTTGGACCGTCTCGTAAACAGACTAAATATTCTCCTTGGAATCGTCTCGGTGACTGATAATTGAAATGAAAGCCTAAGCCAATATTTTTACGCTATTATGGAGGGTAGAGGTAAGCAGTACTATCTTAAAAGGCGGATTAGTTAAAAAAATATCCAGCTGTAGTATTAAATTACAAATCAATTCCCTAAAATACCGCTAGCGTAGCTAGTAATGTAATATGAGATATGAATAGAGCAGTTACAAAGTGAACAGAAGCTAATGCAGTGAAGTTAGAACAGAACAAGTGAATAGAAATTTAAACAAATCAACCTTTGCGACTCTCTCGGAAATTCAACAACAACACCTAACCTATTCCTACCGTGAAGCAGTAATGCATTTCGGTTTGAAGGATGACATAGCCATTACTATAAAACTGAGACTTAGAACTTACGTTTCAAAGTAGGTAGCAGCATTTACTTTGTTAATGTCTTTGGGTTTCAGTAACCAGCTAACACCAGGTGAGCCGTGAGCCGTAGTTCAGTTTTCTAAGCAATTAAAACTATATCCATGATAATAGACACAGCAACATAATTTTTGCCAACCTTGAAATATGAGGTCGAATTATCGGGAAGAAATTAAAATTGAAAGACGTCATTTGTTAATCAAAGCTCCATTACAGAGGCTGGCTCATTAGCGACCTTCAATATACTCCGTCTTTACGCTGTCTGCAAATATGAAAAGAGAGCTTACTTCAAATGTTTATGTTTGAGCTTACTTCAAATGCTTATGTTTTTTTACAAAGAACTGACTTTAGCTTTTAACAAACTTTACATACCAAACAATTACATACCATTAAAACTTATTACATTTTACTAAATTCACTATTAATGAATGACACGCTATCGCAGTAAACCTTTGTTTTACTTTAAACAGGACTAATAACCATTGATTTCAATGCCGGACTCTGATTAAATACCACGAACTTTGAACTTGGAAATGGTCAACCTCGACTCGAGAAACCGCGTCGAGGACGCAGCCAGACCGATAGAGCTTCTCCCCTCCCCGCGCTAATGGTTTTCAACGAGGACCGTGGGGGTCTTAATCGCGAAAATACGGATCAGGTTTGAATGGTTGTTTTGTAATGTAGTGACCGGCGCCGATGCGACAAGGAGCGAGACGCCACCGCGGCCGCCATACTGGGCAGTTGTCATTCGGTCGCGACACACGGTGCATGTTTCGATATCGATATTTTCACGTGCCTACGTCATACAACATATAATTAATGTGGACAAGTCGAAATGCATTTATTGTGTGACCGGCGCGAGCGTAAGTCAGTCGGCAAACGTTGTTTTACGTATAGTGTTGTAGTGTTTTGAAATGGCACGGATACACGGTTTCATCTTCTTGTTTTCCGTAGTAAGTATCGATAGTGTTTATCGATAGCGTATTTCATTAGCGTATTGTATCACTAAGTTGAGTGTATTGAAAAATTACTAGTTTATCATGTTTTTTTCTAAATATACTTGTTGATTATCATATAAATTCAACCTTCCATTAATTACTGTGATATTATGTTTATACGACGCCGTCAAAAACATTATAATTATTTGCTTTCATATTTTATAATCTACTCAATTATTGATTACGGTGAGTCTCGATTTTAAATTACTTTTCAGTGGAAAATTAACGACACAATTATATTTGTTTATCAACATCAAACAACACACACTGCAGCGCATCGTTCGCTGTTGAGAAAAAACCTGAATAACATTGACGTATCCACCGCCTCGTCAAGTCATGAGGTCAAAGATTTGATTGCATTCCATTGACGGCCATCCTTGAAGCCGATACGACAAGTTCCTTCATAAACTTTCGACACGAACGTTACAAGAGGATGAACTAGCTGCCTAGTTAGTTTCTTCCTGGTATCGTGCAGCTATAGTTCAAAAAGCGTGCGTCTCTACCGGCATTTGTCAGTAATCCTTCTAGATCCGAACGAATATGACCCTTAAATAAACCGGAACGCATGATCGCTTTGCCGAAAGTATACGTAAAACACACAGCTTATGCTAGTTAAAAACAGTTCCAAATGAAACAGTAAATACAGGCGCTATTCCTGTAACACATGTAGCAGAAAGTCTCGAGATCAGCGGTAGTGTCTACCGTCAGACACAGACACTGAGTTTCTCGCCGGATTTTCTCAGAGGGTCGCGTTTCGGCTCCGGTGGTAGATTCTGCGAAGCACGGCTCTCGCTAGGGTTCGTGTTAGCAACGTCGTCAGGTTTGAGCCCCGTGAGCTCACCTACACGTTAGGGTGAAGCTGAAATAGCCTCTCAAGGCTATCAGCATAGGTAGGAAAAAAAATCATTTTCGTCAAAACCGCGTCCCTACCTACTAGTTAAGGTTACGCTGAAATAGCACTTTGAACAGCCCTAATCCTCTATCAATGTCCTCCTGTGAAATAGGCACTGCTAATCACAGAGACGTGAGCACGAAAACCTATTGGATACTAACTGCGGATCAGACGCAGCAACGCCTACAAACGAGATGATGTAACGTCAATAAAAAACTAAATATTCGCGTCAATTACTTACCGGTACATTTCAAAACGTGTTTGGTGTTTAATCACAAATTTAATAACGCGTCGCAAAAAAAATATAGTTCGCAGACTTAAGTTTTCGCGCGCACGCGTAACTCCACGCGTCGATGCCTCTATGGATCTTGGTCTCAATGGATAATCTTATCATGGACTATATCCACCCACCTACTTAAAATATTTGAATATGTAATTTCGAAAAGGGCACATCTCTGAAAATGTAAAATGTTCAGGAAATAAAAAAAACTGATTATTTTCTAAAGCAGTGTAAAATTTAAAATATTAACTTTTGAAATATATTTTAGTGTTAATTAGCAATTGAAAATTACTGGAATTATTATAAAATGGGTGTAGGTAAGCCTCAAAACTACATGAACATGAAAAAAAGGAATTTGACAAAATATGCGACATGTGCCCTTTTCGAAATTGCATATTCATTTGTTCTTCATAATCACTTACGAAAAGCTCTGTGAGCTATAATGAGCAACTAAGTATTACCCCCTCTAGCTATTGGAGCTATTTCCACTCTTCTTAATACACGAAAACCTATAAGCCTATAATCAAGTTATGATTGAAATACAGAAAGATTGTGTTTCATTGTGCCTCTTTTTAAGATCCGTCAAATTAGAGGAAGCAGGATTTTTTTTCTTGACTTAGCTTCGTAACTCATCCCAAATAGTCTCTATGAGGTTTGCATAGAGCGAGCGTGCTGGCTACCCTGTAGCATCGGTTACAACGCGTCGTCAAAGCATTCGACCTCATAAGTCTACTAGAGCAATTAGCACTACAACATCTCAGTTCCACACCGTGCCACTGCTAGTGATCCATTCTCGATGACGTAGAGGCTCCTACGTACCACGCAAACACTCGTATCCACCCAAACCATGAGTGATTCTACACCGTAATAAATCTCTTCTCTAATGATGCAGCACTTAGCATACTTTTCTTCGAGACGTTTCCACACTCGATAATCTGACTTCAGGCAAAATCTGGACTTATCTGTGAATGAAGTTTCCCCCTTGGTAATCCCAATCTACCATTTATCCAATTAGTAGGAAGCAAAAATAAGTATCGCTACTCAATGGCCTTGTAGCAAGAAGTGGCTTCCAGAAGGCAAGTGTCTTCTGATTATTCCGGACGGTATCTGTCTTTTTAGAGTTTTTTGTGCTTAGTAGAAATTCTTGGAGATTCGTTCTTACCTCAACAGGAGGCAAGTGCTGGTTTCTAAGCAAGCTGGTTTGTAGGTCATTTCTGGACATCGTTTTCTACTCCTCGATCTATCTCTTAATAGCTCGTTCTAACAGGTATTTCGATAGTCATAATAAGTGGTCCATACGTTAGTAAGTGTGCTCGACACATTCTAAGGCACGTCAACTTGAGTAGCTATTAGATTATGCAATAACAATTCACATTTAAAATGATAAATGAAGTCTTTAAGGTAAAAATTTAATTTAACTTCATAGAATTTAAGATCGCAGTATAGCTAAAAGCTTATGAAGTTCGAATAAAAATCATATTTTAATAAAATTTACTAATGCCTATTGCCAGTCAGTACACACGATAACTGCAATAGAAGAAATCATTCATTATTTGCCTTCCCATAAAATTTGCCAAAGAGTGTATTTTACTTTAACCCATCCGCTTCGACTGTCTTTGACGATAGTTAAGCGTGTATACACAACGAGACGCTAAAATATAAAATCCTTGAGTCTTGTGCTGCAATCAATATTTATTTTATTTTATTTATTAGACTCACAATACACATTACAAGCTAAAAAGATACATAAAAAACCGAAGTAAAAAGAAACAAAATCTGGCTTGCAACATAAGTTGTGTGCGCACGTCAAAACAAGACAGTGCTGAATTTGTACAACAACATTCCTTACAATTATACGACAAAGCAACACGACAACGAAAACTAATCTAAGTTATAATGTAAGGAAATAATTATATCAATAATTATAGTTATAATATTATAATTATAAATTATAATTTATAAGTATTATTATAATTATCAATATTTTCTCTTCAAACGGCATCATCCTGCCGACCGACTGTCATTGGGAGATAGACAGGTTGTATTTTTATTATTTTTTTATTGCTTAGATGGGTGGACGAACTCACAGCCCACCTGGTGTTAAGTGGTCACTGGAGCCCATGGGCATCTACAACGTAAATGCGCCACCCACCTTGAGATATAAGTTCTAAGGTCTCAAGTATAGTTACAACGGCTGCTCCACCCTTCAAACCGAAACGCATTACTGCTTCACGGCAGAAATAGGCGGGGTCGTTTTACCTACCCGTGCGGACTCACAAGAGGTCCTACCACCAGTAGATATACTTGTATAATCACAAATTTCGCCAAGACTAGTCATAGACATACTAGATAAATAGTATGCATGCGTGTGTGCGTCAAATACATGGTATGTAGTGTGTGTAATGTTTTCTTTATTGATTTGATATATCATTTATGCATTATTTAAAAAACAAATAGCATTGTGCACTTCTTCTCTATATTCTCTATAAGTGTGGAAAATTTCATACTCCTCCGTCTGCGCAATTTTCGTAAAAAGAGATCGTACTACCAGTAAAAAGTCTTGATATCCTTGTTTTGAACTTGGTTACATTATGTAAGATACCTTAGAATTGTTATGTGGTTTCTTCAGATTTGTTTCATTCATTGTTCGCTGCCACTATAAGCCTTTCAAGAGCGAGATAGAAATAAAAAAATGGAAGGCAGAACCGGATCAAGATATTCAATGTCTTATTTCAAGCATGCATACGTACCTAGTTACTACCTAGTTATTTCTACCGCGAATCGGTAATACATTGCCGCTTAAAGCACGTGAGAGCCATAATACTATACAATTAATATTTAGACCTCTTGTCTCAAAGTTAATGACGGCATTCACATTACGGTGTCTGCGGACCCCAGTAACCACTAATTACCTGGTGGAAAGGAATCTTGTTCCACAATCTATGCACGAATTAATTGAGAGAGAGAGAGAGAGAGAGAGAGATAGATAATACACTTCACTGCACACCAAAAATACAATTAACATTCAAAACCAGTCAAAAAGCAGATACATTTGTAGAATAGGCGGTCTTATCGCCAAAAACGATCTCTTCCAGACCGCCGTTACATTTACAGAAATTCTGGAAAATTTTAAAATATAGTAGGTATGTTGCGGTGTACTATTGGCAATACATTATTATAGAAAATGCGTATCCGAATAGAATCCGATTAAAATTCGGTAACGCTATTTAGAATAAATCGTTATCTTTTTACCTTTTCGTAGGTTCGTTTCCAGTGAAGGTGTTAGGCTTAATGCCGCCCTAAGTCCTGTTTATCGCGCCGCCCTTAATGTTAGAATAAATTTTATTAATTATAATCTAATATTTTTATTTTCAATTTAAAATATGATATATACTTTTTTATATAAAAATTCATCTTAACTCATTTTCAAAGGAGACTGTCTATACTTATTTTTCGTCACGGAAATTTTAACATTTCAAAATTTTCGCCGCCCCTCTAATCATGCCGTCCTAGACCCGAACCTCGCGGCCCTAGGCGTAAATCTATCACTTTTAGTTTCGTTGGGGTCACCTGTTCAAGATCACATCTCAAAGAGGACATTCACTTTCTCTTCATTCACTATCTCTAAGCAGATAAGAGACGCCAAAACATATAGTTCAATTCAAAGGACATTGACATTGTAATTCATTATTAATTCTCTAATGAAATTCACCAGTCATTATTAGTCATACTAAAGTATGTATACTACATACATATTTACCTCATATTATATGCGAAAACGTC